GCCATTTGGATGTCTTCTAAAAGGATGCATATTTAATCAAAATTTAATTAATAAGTTTTACCACTCCAAGATATTCTCCAGTGAGGGGGGGGCGCCTGGGTGGCTCAGTCAGTTGGGCATCTTGACTCTTGATTTCGGCTCAGGTCATGATCTCATGGTCATGGGATTAAGCCCCATGTCGGGCTCCACACTCAGCAGCCAGCCTACTTTGGATTCTCCCTCTCCCTCTGCCCCTCCCCCCGTTCACAAGCACACTCTCACTCTCTCTCAAATTAATAAATCTTTAAAAAAAAAAAGATATTTTCAAATGAAACTGCCTTTTTTTTAAACTGCAAGTGTGTGATAGTGTGGCAATAAAGAACATAATGACTAATAGTACAGTTTTACTGCTTTGATTTGTACTGAGGTATCAGCAGCTTTACCTAGCACTACTTTCGCATGATCATTGCAAATGTGGACACACCTCAGAGACTCCCTGAAATAGTCTTTAGGACTCCTAGGAATCCACAGACCACACTACAAGAAAAGCTGAAAAACATTTACAAATAGTTAAAATCTGAACTTTCTTTCTCACCTTTTGATTAATGACAACAAATCCTTTATTGGACTGAGCACAGACTCTGTCTTTCAGGTCTATTATTTTTTGTAGTCTATCTTCAATAAACTTTCTTTCAGCTTTTACCAATTTCTCTTTCTCTTCAGCAGTCTTATAAAAGAAACCAGAGCTCACCTCTCTAAAAGATTAATAAAAACAAGCTAGTAAAGGTGGAAGAAAAAGGAGGGAAAGGTAGGAGTTTACACTAAACATTTGGGAGGGAAGAAAGAGATTAAAAAACACTTTTAGAGAGCACCTGGGTGGCTTAGTTGGTTAAGCGTCCCACCCTTAATTTCGGCTCAGATCATGATCTCAGGGCCATGAGATTGAGCCCTATGCATGCTTAAGATTCATTCTCTCTCTCTCTCTCTCTCTGCTCTTCCCCCACCTCTCTTTCTCTAAATCAATTAATTAAAATTAAAAACACTTTTAGAAAATATAATTTCAAAATTTACAAAGAGTAACTGCCACATACGTTTTTTCATATTCTAGTGACACATTGCAAGTAAGGATAAATGCATCTTCCACTCGCTTCTTCATATCTGGATGACGGGCACCATGATCCAAAACTAATCCTCTGATCAATCTATTAAAAATATGTATTTTTAAAAAATTTATGTAAAAAATATGTAAATTTAAAAAATAAAAAAATATTTCTTACTTGGACTATACACTTTAAATTTATTATAAAATAAAGATTGTATTGTATTCTTAAAATTTTAACAGATCGGACACACATTGTTTCCTTGCACCAACTTTAAGCCTAACAGATAACTAGTAAAATTGGAAAAGAGAGACGCCTGGGTGGCTCAGTCGGTTGAGCGTCTGCCTTCGGCTCGGGTCATGATCTCGGGGTCCTGGGATCGAGTCCCGCATCGGGAGCCTGCTTCTCCCTCTCCCTCTGCCTGCTGCTCCCCCCTGCTAGTGTTCTCTATCTCTCTGTGTGTCAAATAAATAAATAAAATCTTTAAAAAAAAATTGGAAAAGAAAATCTACTTCAATGCAATTTCATTGAGGTCACAATGAAAAGTCAACCCAGAATTATTCTCTAAATTATGTAGCTCAAACAGATGACACAGCTGGTCAAGTAATGAAAGGTAGGCACACAATGAGTTTCTTAGGAACATTTGTTCAAAATAATTATATGGAACAACCAAAAACTGTTAACCTAAATGTCTAACAATAGGGCACTGTTCAGCAAATAAATGACCCAACTATTTGGTGGTCATGAAAACTATATAATGACATGAAAAATTATTTACAGAGGTAGCTGATAAACACAGAACAACAAACTACTTATAAAGCATGATTATAACTATTCTTTTAAAAAATAAGCATCTTGGTATTAACAAGAAAAAAATAAACGGAACCTAGAGTAAAGTTATGCTTGGGCAGTAGGAATACAGATAATTTGGGGGTGGGAGAGGCCTTTTTCCTGTTTTCCAAATTTTTTTTTTTTAAGATTTTATTTATTTATTTGAGAGAGAATGAGAGATAGAGAGCACGAGAGGGAAGAGGGTCAGAGGGAGAAGCAGACTCCCCGCTGAGCAGGGAGCCCGATGTGGGACTCGATCCCAAATTTTCTTTCATGAGTATTTTTATAACATTTAAAATTTCATTTATACCAAATTAGAGAATGGTATTTCTACTTATGAATCTTTTATAGCCAGGATTTGTTCTACATTAAAGAAATAATTTTTTTAATAAACATGATTATAAGGAAGTTTTCAAAATTTTAATCTAACTACAAAATTTAATCTAATCACTACCAACTTCTAACTGAAAATGAAGATATTTAGGAAGAAACAAGCTAATGATATGTTCAATATTCATCACTCTTCAAGTCTCCACTCTTTCCCTCTCTCACTCTCAGCAAATGACCTTGCTGCTGGAGAAAATACAAACACTGTCTCATCACTACCTCCACCAATCCACCTGCACTTGAGCCTGAACCTCTCTCTATTCCTATGAATGAACTGTCCACGCTCCTCTGCATGTGTGTACTCTACTCCATTTCTCCTCTCTGCTCCAGCATTGCCCCATCCCCCTACTGCCATCAATTCCTCCTGCCTCCAGGAGCATTCTCGTCAGGATACAGACTTGCCATGATAACTCCCATCTTTAAAACAAAGAATGCTTCTCCTTCAAGTCCCTTGCCATACTCCCTTCTAGCTACTGACCCATTTCTCTGCTAACCTCCTTGGAGTGGTGTAAGCTTGCATCCTCACTTCTTCCCTAACCCTTCTCTCTGGAGCCCACCTTCAGTCTGACTTTCATACCCACTCCTTTATTGAATCAGTTCTCACTAGAGCCACCAAAAACATTAAATGCTTTCCATATCTAATGGTCAATTTTCAATCCACAACTTCTTCAAAGTTTCAGTAGCATATGACATAGTTGATTATTCTCCCTTTGAAACAGTTTCCTATCTTAGCTTCTGGGCCAGTACCTTCTCCTGGTTTTCCTCCTACCAGTGACCACTCCTCTTCAGCCTCCTGTGCTAAATCCTCCTCGTCTTCTCCATCTCTAAACATCAGAGTTTCCAGGGCTCAACTTTAAACATCCTCTTTTTTTTTTTAAGATTTTATTTATTTTGAAAGAGCAAGTGAGCGAGAGAACACGAGCAGGAGGAGTAGAGGGACAGTAAACTTTCTTTTCTATCTACATTCACCTCCCAGATGATCTCATTACCTCTCATAGGCTTTAAGTCACCTATGCACGGATAACTCCCAAATATACTTCCAGATCAGACCTCTGTTCTAAACTCCAGACACACCTCTCCCAACTCCCGACTCAACATCTCTACATGGATGCCTAATAGGCATGTAAAACATAACATTTCCCAAACTAAACTCTTGATTTACTTCCCCAAATCTTTTCCTGCCAGTCTTTTCCATCCCAAGAAATGGTACTTCTGCTTTTCCAGCTGCTCCATGCAAAAACCCAGGAGACATCCTTCCTCTTTATCTGTCACATTCTACATTGAACCATCAATAGATCCTATTGCTCCTTCTTCTAAGTATACCCTGATCTAAACTGTTTTCATCCCTCACCTGAATTACAACAGATTCCTGACTGGCCTCCAGCTTCTGCCCTTGCACTGGGATGTGCCCGGCTCCACAGTGCATTCTCCCCACAACAACCAGAGAGATCCTTCTGAAATATCAGTCAAGAACTGCTTTGCCCTCAGTAATGGCAGACTAATTTGGACCAAACTTACCACCAAAAGCAACCAAGAATTCTGGGTTAAAAACAAAAACCCAGGCGCTGGGTGGCTCAGTTGGTTAAGCGACTGCCTTCGGCTCAGGTCATGATCCTGGAGTCCCGGAATCAAGTCCCACATCGGGCTCCCTGCTCAGCGGGGAGTTTGCTTCTCCCTCTGACCCTCTTCCCTCTCATGCTATCTTTCATTCTCTCTCTCTCGAATAAATAAAATCTTTAAAAAAAATAAAAATAAAAAAATAAAAACAAAAATCCTGGGGCACCTGGGTGGCTCAGTCAGTTAAGCATCTGACTCAAGATTTCAGCTCAGGTCGTAATCTTAGGGTTTTGAGATTGAGCCCTGCATCAGGCTCCATGCTGGGCATGGAGCCTACTTAAGATCTTTCTCCTTCTCCCTCTGCACCCCACCCCCACTGGCTTATGTGCACACACACACACACACACACACACACACTCTCAAAAAAAACAAAAAAAAAGTCCAACAAAAAAACAACCTTAAAAACATTGAAGAGCTATAAAACAGTAAAGAAAACATGAACTCCAAGGGGTAAGAAAATAAGTGCAGGCACTCTTATCCTAAAGTCATTAGACAATTCAGGAAAATTTGAACTTTGTTTTCAACAACCTCACAATGAGAAGGGGACAGAATTAAAAGCTCGGGGCTCATCCGAGGTAGAAGGTCTAATAGGAGACACTTTTCCCAGTAAGTAGGAACCCCAAAGGGGAACATACTCAGGGTATAAACCAGAAGGATGAACTAGAAGCAATCAGCCCTTATACCAAACAGCAGTTAGAATTAACTGGAAAGAAGCGCCTGGGTGGCTCAGTCGGTTAAGCGGCCAACTCTTGATTTCAGCTCAGGTCCTGATCTCAGGGTCCTGCAATGGAGCCCTACATCGGGCTCCACACTCAGCAGGGAGTCTGCTTAAGGATTCTGTCTCTCCCTCTCCCTCTGCCCCTCCCCCCACTTACATGTGTGCTCTCTCTCTCTCTCTCTCTCTAAAATAAATAAATTTTTAGAAAAAAAAGAATTAGCTGGATATTAAGAACAAAACAAAAAACAAACAAACAAACAAAAAGCCCTCAAGCTGTGGATTTAATTTAAAGTATTCCCTGGGGTGCCTGGGTGGCTCAGTTGGCTAAGTGCCTGGACTCTGAATCTCAGCTCAGGTCCTGATCTCAGGGTCATGAGTTCAAGCCCCACACTGAGCTCCATACTGGGCATGGAGACTCTTAAAAAATAATAATAAAAAATAAAGTATTCCCTGGGCTCCTTGAAGAAGCAAATTCAAATTCTCTGTGCAAAAATGGACCTTCATCCTAGGTCTCAAATTATTTCTACAAATACTTTTTTCAAACACAATTGAATGGCACATATAGAAACAAAACACAGTTAGAGAGAACCAGCAAAATATAATAAACACCAGAAATAGACAAGCCAAAACTTCAATTGTCAGACATGAACTATATGTTTAAAAACATATAAGGCAGGTTTACAAAGATCTGCAGGGAATAGGACGCCATAAAAAGTGCCATGGCAGATTTAAGAAAAACCAAATAAAACTTCAAGAAATAGGTAAATAAAGATGCCCACAAACACACACATATATATTAAAATAAATGAGAAAGTATTTTCAAATGAAATAATGATACCTGGATTGGCTTCAAAATAATCCAGGTTTGGGGCAAGGAGGAGGGAGGAAAAAGGAGCATATAAGGGAAATAAAAGGAAAAATAAGACAGGCCATATGTTGAAAATTGATAAAGATGAGTGACAGGTATATAGGAGTTCACTATTCTTTTCTCTCTACTTTTATATATGTTTAGAATTTTCCATAATAGAAAGTTTAAAATTCATTACGTCCAAAATCAACAAGATGCTACATACTCTGAGGACATACATATTCAGACAACTGTCTGGCTTTCTTTCCTCTCCGACTTCATGTCCTACTCCTTTTTCCTCTTCCTATGCTCCAGGCACACAAACACCCCAGCACACTTGTGCCTCAGGGCCTCTTCATCCGTTATTCCCTTGGCTTAGAACATTCTTCCTCCAGATATGCACATGGCTAGCTCCCTTATTTCTTCAGATACTCCTTAGTTCTCTAGCTTCCTATGACAAGGACCTTCCCTGAACATTCTAAAATCAGACACATGCTCTCACATAGTCACTCTACCTTCTTCAAGCTTTTATTAGCACTTATGTATTTATTACCTCCCTCAACTAGAAAATAATCTTCTTGGAGAAAGAAATTGTTTTGTTTACTCTTCATGACTGGCTCGGGGTAAGTATTCAATTAATATATGTTTGGTTTGTTTGTTTGTTTGTTTGTTTGTTTGACAGAGAGACACAGCAAGAGAGGGAACACAAGCAGGGGGAGTGGGAGAGGGAGAAGCAGGCCTCCCTACTGAGCAGGGAGCCCGATGCAGGGCTCGATCCCAGGACCCTGGGATCATGACCTGAGCCAAAGGCAGACGTTTAATGACTGAGCCACCCAGGCGCCCCTCAATTAATATATGTTGAATTAATAGACTGATGTTGAATAAAAGTAAGGAAATTAATGAAAAAAACATCTGAACTAAACCAAATATTCCAGAATCTATGTATTATCAAAGTTTGTGTAATTTACTTTGTATCTGTTTCTGATTTATGCTTCATCTCCATGATTTCTACCATGAAGAGATCAATAGGATAACCTGGTCTTCTAACAGCCAAAACAGAATCCACAACAGCCTGAAAGAGAAGCAAATGAGAACAGTAAATTATTGTTCTACTAAAAGAAACCACTGGCCCAAGTAATCATCAGACTAAGCAGGTAAAGGGCTTTAGGCCTCAAAATACTTTGTCATGGACACCAGTAATAACCAATGCCAATGACTACCTTAGAACATAAAGGAACTTCAGAGATCACCAGGCCCAAATCCTTCATTTTACAGATAAGTAAACTCCAATAAAAGTTTAAGAAGTTACAGTCTTAGGGGCACCTGGGTGGCTCAGTTGGTAAAACATCCAACTCTTGATTTTAGTTCAGGTCATGATCTCAGGGTCATGGGATCAAGCCCCACATCGGGCTCTGCACCGGACATGGAGCCTGCTTAGAATTCTCTCTTCCTTTCCCTCTGCCCCCCCCCACCCCCACTAGCTCACACTCTCTCTCCAAAAAAAAAAAAAAAAAGAAGAAGAAGAAGAAGAAATAGTTACAGTCTAAAAACAAGGTCTAACAGGCAGTAGCAGAGCCAGGACTAGAATTCAGTTCTCTTCGAATGCCAAGCTACTACTGTTTCTACTACCAATACTACTCAAACTTTTCCACCAAAGAACTTATTAATGGAAAAGAAGGAAACGTAATGTAAGGTAAGAGCTAAAATTTGCTGGCTATACCGACATGAAATTTCTTAAGTTTTGTGTTTTATCATGAAAAGTTTCCACATCATGCCATAATATACACGTTTGTTTTAATGTGAAAGTAATGTTTTTCCCCAAAACTGCAAAGTAAAATTGACACTCTAGAAAAACATGTCTCACTTATTCTGCCACATATCCCCAGAGATAAACAATCTGAGAAACATGGTACGATACATCCTATTGCTTAGCTCAGAAAGTAATATGAAAACAACTAATTACAGAAATTAAGTGCTACAGTATAACCATCCTAAAATATAAACAAAGCAAAAAACTATACCTTAGAAAACTTTATCTGAGAAAACATGATATTTGGTTTGGGAGCCTAATAGGGAATAATGACAAAAAACACTGGATAATGAGAATATCAGTGTTTCTAGAATTCCAAAAGAGAATGGGGGCCTAGCCAGATAACATGAAGATTCTGGGTCACTCGATACATGTACTCCAACAGGAGAAAATACTGCAGTCTTTATTTGAACTCTGTTGAGCAAGAAATTGTCTGATCTTAATCTGATTTGCCAAGTAGGTTTTCCTAGTGGTAAGGGGAATCGACCAGAAACAACTGAGGTGTTCCAGTCCATTTGTCATTTATCTCTCTCAAAAAGTAAATTATCAAGAAAGCATTCTGATTTATATGTCAATGTCTTGTGATTTTGGTTATGAATTCATCATTCCTGATAAACCAATATATTCAAGTACAAAGCTGAGGAACAATGATGATATCAAACTATAGCCACCTGATAAAAGCCTTCCCAAAATACCCAGTCTTGTCCTTATATTACCTACATTTTACCTTTAGAAGTAAACAAAACAAATATGCATTTCCCAGATGTGAATATTATCTATCAGATTTATCAGGCTTCATTAAAGTAGTAAGCTTAACCACTTCCCTATGTGTCACCTCACATAACTATGGACCCCTAGTTTAAGAGACCAGTACGTCACCCCAATGGCAACCACAAGGGATGATCCACAGGCAGCCAAGCCCCTCCTAACTTTCATGGTAACTTAAAAGAAGGTTTAATATGACACTTTTGAAAAAATTACACATACTGTTCTGACCAATCAAGTCTAGTCTCTAAGTAAGTCTATAAACGTTTGTCTTCCGTATTTTACTTCACGTTCAAAAGAACCACATGTGGCGGTTGATTATCTTATAGAAAAAAGAAAAATATCATCATGCATTAGTCTATACTCATTCTGAATGCAAAAGTTTAGTCACATACCTCTATTAACACATCAGCCAATTCAGCATGAACTTTAGTTTGTAGAGATGTTCTAGCCACATCTAAGAGGATTTCTCTTTTCATCTCTTTGTTAATTTTAACTTCTTCCAAAACTTCAAGTGCTTTTATCTTTGCAGCTTGAAATCCTTCAGCTATTATTCTAGGATGCAGGCCCTATATTACATCAACATAAAACTAAAAATTATAAAGTAAGTCATCCAAAGTAAAAGTAACCATCTTCTCCTATTAACAGGTATATCCAGAAAAAGTAATATTACCCACATCAATGCCACTAAATATGTGTATGTATATAATTTATAAAAGTAATTTTTCAGTGCTTCATATTTATTTTTTTTTAAAGATTTTTATTTTATTTATTTGTCAGAGAGAGAGTGAGAGAGCACAAGCAGAGGGAAACGCAGGCTCCCCGTCGAGCAAGGAGCCCGATGTGGGACTCGATCCCAGGACCCTGGGATCATGACCTGAGCCAAAGGCAAATGCTTAACCAATTGAGCCACCCAGGCATCCCATCAGTGCTTCATATTTATTAACAATCTCAAACTTACAGAAAAATTGTAAGTCCAGTACAAAAAACTACAAAAGTCTTCTTTATTTCCAAAAATTAGGACACATTGTCATGTGGTACTCTTCTGAATGGGCACAAAAGAAAAGACTCCTTTTAATGCAGAGGAAAAGAACCAGCACTGATTTGGAGAAAAGTACAGACAGACACCACCTTCACCAAATGTTAACAACACAGTAATGGGAAAAATAGGCATCATGTGCCTCCTGATACAACGCATTAAGAACACTAAAGCACTTCTACGGTATTTGTGCCAAAAGTTCATAACCTGAGTCTAATTACGATAAAAAAGTCAAATCCAAATTGAGGACTTTCTACAAAATAACTGGCCTATACTCTAAAAGTAGCAATGCCATAAAACACAAAATGACAGCTCAAGATTATTCCAATTTAAAGGAGACTAAAGGGATATGACAACTGAATGCAATGAATAAGCCTAGATTTTTTTCTGCTATAAAGGACACTGTTGGGAGAGATGATAAAACTGGAATAAAATCTGTAAGTTATACTACTGCATTGTGTCAATGTTAATATTAATTTGCTGTTTTTTATCACTATTCTGTGATTATGTAAGAGAATATCCTGGTTTTAAGAAATATACACTAGGGGCGCCTGGGTGGCTCAGTCACTTGACCATCTGCCTTCGGCTCAGGTCATGATCCCAGGGTCCTAGGATTGAGCCCCATATCGGGCTCCCTGCTCAGCAGGGAGCCTGCTTCTCCCTCGCCCTCTGCTGCTCCCCCTGCTTGTGCTCTGTCAAATAATAAAATCTTTTAAAAAAAAAGTATACACTAAAATATTTAGACAATCATGTCTGCAACTTACACCATTTAGAAAAAAATATGTACATATATATATCATATATATGCATATATGAGAGAAATGTTATTTTTTGGAATATTCCTAAACCTTTTCTCTAGGTCTGACATTATAACAAAATAATTTTTTAAAAAAATAGCATTGTTGATTCTGGAAAAAATACATAAACTTATTAAAAGGTGGAACTAGGTCTAATTTATTCCCCTCCTCCATTCTTTTACATCAGTCCTACAATAATTTTTTAAAGTTAACATTTATTGAGCATTTGAGCCAGGTACTAATCTAAAGGGCTTTACATGTATTATTTAATTCAATCCTCTCAACACTATGAAGTGGGTATTATTATTTCTGTTTCACAATGAGGAAATAGAGGTTTATAGGGATAATGTAATTTGCCTTAGATCACCAGTATACTAAGAGGTGGAGCCAGGATTTAAACCTGCAGACCCTGACTCTAGAGCCTGTGTTATGAACCATTTTCAAAACATTACCTCAGTCTAGGATCTCACAACTTCTCACCTGGACTACTAGGATCTCCCAGTCTTGACTCCCTTAAAACCGTCACCCAAATTTTTAAAATGTTAATCTGACCGTATCAGTCATTAATATGTTAACATGAACATTCTTCTTGGTTAGCATACTACGTGCCCTCTGTGATCTGGCTCCCATCTACTTCTCCAGGCTTTCATTGCTGTCTACATCACTTTATTTTTTAAGATTTTATTTATTTGAGAGAGAGCACACATGAGTGTGGGGGAGGGGCGGAGAAAGCAGGAGAAGCAGACTCCCCACTGAGCAGGGAGCCCGATGACCGGTGACCAACTGAGCCACCCAGGCGCCCCTGTCCACATCACTTTAAGCTTTGCCAACACCGAAATGCTTGTAGCTTTACATACATACCACCTTGCTTCTCTTCTCTGTGCCTCTGCTCATGGTGTTCCTTCTGGCTGGAAGGTCATTCTCCTTACCCCTCACTCTTTCCTCTGGCTCACTCCCTCTCATCCTGAAGACTTAACCCAGGTCTTACTTCCTCCAGAAAATTCTTCCTAATTCAGGTTAGTTTAGGAAAGCCCTCCCTCCTCAGTGTTTCTATCATGTATTGTGCCTAGCTCTAGCACTGTACTGCCACAATTTCATAATTATGTCAGTGTCTGTCAGCATTTCCCCCTTCCCAAATTTTTTTCTCCCTAACAAAACCCTAATTTTGTTTAGGTTATCTCTTCCTCCAGTCTTCGGAGGAAGCCACCCTCTCTAGCTAGCTCAAGGGGTGGATACTGATTAGATTAAGTCAATTCCCTGGAAAACCTGTTATTGATTTAGGATGGACACAGATCAAAGTTGTCCCAATCATATTATAAAGGAAGAACTTATATTCCATAATTGGGCAAATGGTTCTCTCTTGCACTCTTCTGCTGAGTGTTACTAAAGGAAGCAGATATTCCTAATTTCTTCTGACAGTCTTATAATCAGGATGGAAATAAGCCTTATCATGAAACAGCACTGTAAATGGAGGCACTAAGAGACAGAAAGAACCAGGGTTCTTGATGACTAATAGAATTTTTTAATCAACCAACCTTGGATGTTCTGTCATGGAGATAATTTATTGTTTAAATGAATTTTAATCAAATTTCTACTGCTTACAGCCAAAAGTACCTAAATGAGGTACACTGCAGGTACTGAATTACTAGACAATTCCCAATACTAAATGAAACACAAAGAAGTAATAATTCTTGCACTTTGACCTAGTAATGCTTTGCTGAAATGGTCCTTGAAAGAAAGGAAACATTCAAATACTTAATCAGAGAAGACAGATAAGTAATGCCAAGAAAAGAATACAGATTGAACAAAGGCACTGAGGTAGAAATGGGTGTAGTGATTTCAGAGGTAGTGAGTAGAGTAGAGGAGTCTCACTAGAGTAGATGGTTTATAAGGAAAATAAAACTAGAAAGATAGGTAAATTCATAACGTGAAAACCTTCAATTATTTTTCTCCAGTTATTTTTTTTAAAGGTGCATAATTTGGTTTCAACTTTATTAGTGATATTTTCTTTTTTAGGCCATTATTCATGGGTAGATGGCTAATTTTTTACCTACTTATATATCTTAAATATTTCATTTTAAAAAGTGGGATATAATTCCAATGAAAGGCAGTATTTTGGCAAAAAAGTTCATGACTATTTCCATTTATAATTGTCCAAAAGTATCTTGATAAAAATTACTTTTGCCCTCTAAAATTAAACCATTTTACCAGTGAAAACAATTCCCCATTCAAAATAAAGTATCACATGAATGTGAATTCTGTAAAATGCTAATACCTCAGAAATGTAAAGATCAGCTTGTTTTAGTAACTCTCCAATAATTAGAACATTGGAAGTAGTACCATCTCCTGTAATGTCATCCTGGGCTGTTGCTACTTTTGCTATCAGGGAAGCTGTTGGGTGTTGAATTTGCTGGAAAAAGTAAGCAACAGATTAAAAGAGAGAATGAGAGTAAAAAAAAAATAGTCCAATGAAAACAAGATAACCTAAGGGCCAATAGTAAAATTAAAAAATAAGCTTCATTCTACAAGCTCACAAATTCTTATTATCAATACTTAATAAATGTCAATACCAAATTTTTTAAATTGAGAACTAATGAGGTTTGAACATTTTTAAGAGTCTTTGCTTTGGAATGCAATGACATTTCCAAAATAAGATCAAATCCTTTCATCTCTAAGATGAATATACTTATTAAAATTGCAAAGGGTTTTTTTTATATTTTCATATTACAAAGAACACAATTCAGTGTCTTTAAAAGATGTAACTGATTTGGAAGTATCTCTAAGCTATTACTTGGACTGTACAAAGATTTGAAAACAATCCAAATCATCTTTTATTAAGGTCTAATCCAACAAGTATTACTCATGACTGCAGTATTTAACTGACAGCCTCGGTTTAAAGATATACAATCTGTATTATGTTCTAGGCTTATTAAGATTTATTAAAGTCAGCAGCATCAGCTCACCATCTCATGGAGTAGTACATTGCCATCTTTGGTAAGTTTGATGTCACCTGCACCAGAAACAAGCCTGTTCACAAAACAGTGATGTATTAACCTCATATGGCAAGAGTCAAGCAAGACGTTCTCAATTCTTGCCACTCACTATCCTTAATATAAAGAACTGACCTTCAAAACTTCCAAGTGCCATGGGCCAATACCATGGTAATCACCACCATGTGCAGCCTAAAGAATCACTTCTCCCCATATGGACTATGGTGATTTCATTCCAAATGGAGCATTTACAAGTTTAAGAGAAACTGATGAGTTATGAACAGAAGTTTGGTCAAAGAAGGATGCTTGGAAGTCTCAAACCACAAAATATAAAGTTCCTGCAGGCCTTTTATTTTGATAGAATGTACCATTCATTCACTCAACTTAGTTTCTTCCCTCATCCCTCACATTTATTAGATCATCAAGTTCTTTTAACTCTACAACCTAAGTATTTCTTCGATCTACCCCCTCCTCTCCATGTCCACTGTCCTCAACATCTCTAGCCTGGACTACTTAGACAGCATCCTGGTATCTCTGAATTTGAATCTACCCCTCACACGACATTTCTTTCTTTTTTTTAAGATTTTATTTATTTATTTGACAGAGAGAGACAGCAAGAGAGGGAACACAAGCAGGGGGAGTGGGAAAGGGAGAAGCAGGCTTCTCGCTGAGCAGGGAGCCTGATGTGGGGCTCGATCCCAGCACCCGGGGATCATGACCTGAGCCAAAGGCAGAGGCTTAACCACTGAGCCACTCAGGCGCCCCTATATTTATTTCTAAAAAGTAATGTGACTCAGTCAGTTCCCTGATCAAAAATCTTTCGATGAGTTTTATGTTCTCCATCACTTTCAAGGTAAAATCCGGACTATTTAGCAATGTCTAGTTCACCTTTCCCAATCTGGCTTATGTCTATTTGTCCTGCGGCATCTATCAAATGAGATCTTGTAGGAAAACCTTGTGGTTCCCTTAATACATGTTTGTTTTCATTTCAGTTGGATTTACACCACTGGGCTTTCTTGTTCCTGAAGTTACTACAAGGCCTTCACTCCCTTCTCCAACTGGTGAACTCTAACTTATCTTTCAAGACTCTGATCAAAAATCTGTTATCTGAGAGGCTTCTCCTCCCTACTCCCATCAGTAATTACTCCCTTTCCTCAATATGATTATATATAGAGATATATATAATCTTCATTTCTGTGTTCCCAGCATCCAGTTGGTATACAAGCGCCCTCTTTTACCGTTAATTTTAATTCTGCTCGTTCCTCTTAGAATGTATTTCTCCTCTTACACATTTTAGTCCTCTTTTCCTCACTCTTCTAAAGAAAATACTGAAGCTAAGTAAATAGATGCTGAAAGGGTGAATAGATAGGAAGAAGTGTAGGCACAGAGCGTTCAAGTAACTTGCCTAAGATGCATAGCTAGACGATAACTTGGATTTGAACCCATGCCTGCCGGGCTCCAAGGCCTTTGTGCCCTTACCATTACAGCACACTACCAAACGAAACCCAAACTATGGGCATACAGTCTCAAAGCGCAGGGGATTTAAACGGCTTATGGTTCTAAAGAGACACCAGGTGAACTGTTTCTACTGCACACGAACGTTAATGAAGTGGGGCAGTGGGGCTGTCACAGCTTCACTCGGGGCCCTTTCCTCGGAAGGCTGTCCTCCCGCCCCTGGCCAGGGGTAACCTCCAGGCAGGAATGAGAACTAGGGTATCCCGTCGCTCCAGGCACTTCGCGGAACGTCTGCCTCAGAGCGCGCCATGACACCCAACAAACCCCGGGCCCTAACCGCCTCTCCAACCGCCGGGCCATCTCACATTTTCATGGTGCCCTTAGGCCCCAAGTTGGTACGCAACACATCCTGCAGCCCTCGGGCGGCGCATATATTGACAGCCAAGGCCGCCTGGGTCCGCGCCACCTGAGCCTTGGAGTTTACCGCCTTGATCGCGGCCATGGCACCGTTGAACTTGCAACCCGGCCAGCAAAAACAGCCTCACGCCGGGTCTCGAGAGAAATCCCGGCGCCACCGCCCGCCTTCCGGAGCCTCAGCCAATCGTCGCCGAGACAGGAAATGACGTTACCAGGCCTCGCCCGCACGGAAGCCAGAATCACCTTGGGTCCAGGCGCCGAGATGGCGTCCTCCGCCTCCGCTCGCACTCCGGCGGGGAAGCGAGTGGTGAATCAGGACGAACTGCGGCGGTTGATGAAGGAGAAGCAGCGTCTGAGCACCAATCGGAAACGGATAGAATCTCCATTTGCGAAGTACAACCGTTTGGGGCAGCTGAGCTGTGCCCTGTGTAACACCCCGGTGAAGAGCGAGCTCCTGTGGCAGACTCACGTCCTGGGAAAGCAGCACCGTGAGAAAGTGGCCGAGCTGAAAGGCGCGAAGGAAGCCACCCAGAGTCCGTCCTCCAGCGCAGGGCCTCAGTCAGCCAAGAGGAAGGCGCCGGATGCGGATGGCCAGGATGCCAAAAGACCCAAGGCCTCTCCGCTGCCTCAGGTACAGCCCTCCACATCCGCTTTGCCCACCAGCTTTGACAGAGCAGGGAAGGAGTCCGCCAGAGCGACCCTCAGTAAGGTTTCGGGACTCGGTTTACTCCCTGATTATGAAGATGAGGAAGAGGAGGAGGAAGAGGGAGGAGAAGGGAAAAGAGGGGACACTAGCAAGCAGCCGTCCGACGCACAGGGCAAGGAACACTCGCTTTCCTCCTCGAGAGAGGCAACAAGTGGTATGCTGCCAGGCGGTTTCTCAGATACACATCCTCCCAAGGCCCCTTTAATTCCTCATTCAGGGTCAATTGAGAAAGCAGAAATACATGAAAAAGTCGTGGAAAGGAGAGAAAACACAGCGGAGGCATTACCGGAAGGCTTTTTTGACGACCCTGAGATAGATGCTAGGGTACGAAAGGTTGATGCCCCAAAGGATCAGATGGACAAAGAGTGGGACGAATTTCAAAAGGCCATGAGACAGGTCAATACCATTTCCGAAGCCATAGTTGCCGAAGAGGATGAGGAGGGACGGTTGGACCGGCAAATTGGGGAGATCGATGAGCAGATAGAATGTTACCGTCGGGTGGAAAAGCTTCGGAATCGCCAGGATGAAATAAAACATAAGCTTAAAGAGGTTCTGACTATAAAAGAACTTCAGAAAAAGGAAGAGGAGAATGTTGACAGCGATGATGAGGGAGAACTACAAGATTTGTTGTCTCAGGATTGGAGGGTAAAAGGGGCTTTGTTATAGGGTTTCAAAGACCCGAGATTTTCATACCCTCTACAATGGTACCAAAAGTGCTGTCTCTGGATAGGATACTGGTTACTTCATGCCCTGATATTTGTTAACCTAACTGGGTTGTTGAGATACAATGAGCCTGTGAAGATAGCACTTTTGAAAATTGGTGTAAAATATTCTTGAGGTAAAGTTGTTTTTGAAATTTTTGAACTATTATATACTAAAATGTCAACTTTTTCACACATTTACTTAAGTGTATAACTTTGAATTGTCAAGTCTGTAAGCTGTAAATATTATATATAGTTAAATATATATTTACTTAAGTAATTCTGTTTTGAAATTTATAAATAAGTAGAAGCCAAGCCAACAGACAAGCTTTTAGATGAAAACCAAGTGTGGTGTTTGGGATATATGTGACTTTTTCTTTTCTAATCCCCTAAATCAACTCAAGAGTGTTTTTGCAGGAAGGTGGGGGACGGGGGTTGTTTTTGTTTTTAAATACTATTCATAAACACATAAGTCATTCAGGACAAATCAGTTCTCTGAGTATTCTGTTTCTGTTTTAAAAACATGCACTAGGAGCACATGGTGATATATCCCAAATATTTCTCTTGATTAAACCAGTGATTCTTGGGTGTAGGTGCACATGGAAAGCACCAAGCTTTTGAAAAGGTGCATAAGAATCACCTTGGAGCTTTTAAAACACTCGTGTGCCCGAGGCCTACGGCTAGAGATTCAATAAATCTGGAGCAGGGCCCAGGCGTCTGTTTAGTTTTGAAAGCTTCCCAGGTTATTCTGATATACGCCAAAGTTGGAGAGATATGTGGCCCTAAATCCAGAACCCATTTATGTTTTCTCAGGCTTTGTTTTTTTCAAATACCATGTTCCATAAGTTTACTGTCTATTGTATAAAAGAAATACTACTTTATATTTAGATTTCATCCAGTCTTAAGTTTTATTACATTTCATAGTAAATTAGGGTTCAGAGTTTCTGTCCATTGTTGGGAGGATAAGTTGTTTTCTCAAGGAGTAACAATTAGCTTGTTCCAGTCATTGATTGTTTAAATCACTCCTTTTCCCTTTAGCGATAGAGGTATTCAAATGAAAATGGAATTAGCAGTGTTCCAGGGGTAGAAATGCATACAGCATCCTCAAATGAAAGTGAGTGGTAATAATAATAGCTAAAACATAAAGCTTTTACAATATATGACAGATGTGGTTCTAAGCGCTTTACATAAACCAAGACTAGTTGCTCTAAAGCTCAGGTTTTATGGAGAATAGTACCAAGAGATAAGGTATGAAAAAGCCTCACTTGGATGCTAGATGAAAGAATTCTCTCTGTCAGCAATGTAGGAAAAGTGGAAGTTTTTTAACAAGAAATTATATTTGCAAAAAAATTATGGAAGATGATTTTAGTTGCAGTATATAAAATGGAATGAATGTGGATGGGGAGAAAGAAGCTGGGAGACTACTTGGAAACTAGATTTTAAAAAAGCTAGGTGAGCAAGACTTTGATTAGTTATGGACTGAGAGTAAAGGAATAAAGTTGAAACATTTTAACAGGAAGGGCTAACATTTTAGTGACTAGGGGTAGAAGAAAAACAGGAGGGATAAAGATGAAATTCAAGGGCTTGGGGGTTTTTAGTGTAGGTCCCTGAAAAAGTTATCTAACACTTAGTGAGTATATTAACTATCTTGCTGTCTTTGGCAGAAAGTCTGTTTTCTTGAGCTGTCAGTATGATAACAGAGGGCATGCCTGCCTTAAATGTATAAACCCACAGGTACTCAGAGTTTTCTATCCTAGAAGCCACATGAAAAAGTAAAAAGAAATATGAAATTAGTTTTAATGTAATTTATTTTATCCAATATATCCAAAATAGTCACTTTTCAATATATAATCGATATTTAAATATCATTAATGAAGTATTTTACATTTGGGGGTTCTAGATTTCTGAAATCTGGGTATATCTAACTTAGCACATCTCAGTTTGGACTGGCTACAGTTCAAGTACTAGCCATATGTGGCTAACAATAAAGGACAGCACAGACTTAAAGAGAAAGTTGTGTAGGAGTAAAAACAAAACATGCACAGGAGATAGCAGACCAATTTAGAGTGGAATGTTCATTCCTGAAAACAGTGGAAGTTATGATTAGAAAGGTAGATTATGAACCATTATGGAAGATCTTGAACTCCATGCTCGAAGGAGTTGGAACTTTTAGGTTAACAATTGAATATCCTTGAGGTTGTTGAATCCTTAATTATAACAGTTAAGGAGTTTAAGGAATGCCATTACTATACATAAAAACAGCAGTGGGTTTTTAGGAGGGACAGAAAGCTCTGTTCCCCATGCTCTGTATCCCAGAGAATGAATGGTGGGGCCCTGAGCAAAATCAAGGAAATCCTTGTTGGGTCTTTGATCAATGTAAAAAGCTACAGGAATTAGTGGATCCTTCCTGATGCTCCACACATTGGCGACCTCCTTTATATGTCTTTGAGCTGGGTCAAATAGGTTTTGGCATTAGACTTCAAACCCACCAACGTTCCCAAATTGTAAGACTTAGTCCCATGGATTTCTTCGAATCACTCTTCTCTTTTTAGAGAACCCCTTCATTTAGCCAACAATTTATTAGAGTTACTGTAAATGCTACAAAGGTAATCCTCTCACCAATTCACTTACCAATTTAATGTAGTTCCCCTAACTGGAGGGGAAAAAAAGCTGAACTAACTAGCCTTGAAATGTAAATTTGCCCAGTGGCTTACAACTTGGAAAATACTCTCACTTTTGTATTTCCTTTAATGATGAAAGTAATGACTACTTCTTATACACCAGGAAACGGGGCTGTGGAATTAAAACTCCAGGAGAAAAATTAATTTAGTAGTAACGATCACTAGATTAGTATGGAGCAGTAGGAAGAACAGGGGAGTTGGCAAGAGAAAACAAGACACAGGTTCAAGTTCCCACTCTACATTTTAAGGGTTAGTGATCTTGGGCAAGTCACATCTCCAAACCTTGGTGCACCCTACTACCAAGTGATGATAATGTGGGGGGTGCCTGGGTGGCTCAGTCGGTTAAGTGTCTGCCTTTGGCTCAGGTCATGATCTCAGGGTCCTGGGATCAAGTCCCGCATTGGGCTCCCTGTTCTGCGGGCAGTCTGCTTCTCCCACTCACTCTCCCTCTGTACTCTCCCTCTCTCTCTCTCTCTCTCTCTCTCTCAAATAAATAAAATCTTTAAAAAAAAAGATACCTCAGGTCACATGACATGTGAAAGGGGTTTATAAACTGAAATGCAATACAAGTACGTCTATTACAGATGGTCACCCACTTAAAATGTTCTACGTCACGATTTTTCGACTTTACAATGATGGGAAAGTGATACACATTCGGTAGAAACCGTACTTCAAATTTTGAATTCTGAATTTGAATCTTTCCCTGGGCTAGCGGGGGGCGGTACAACAATCTCCCGTGATGCTGGGCAGAGGCAGTGGGCCACGGCTCCCAGGCAGCCACTGTACCCACACAACTATTCTGTTCTGCACTTTGAGTGAGGTAGTCAGTAAATCACATGGGACGTTCAACACTCTATTATTATAAAATAGGCTTTGTGTTCGATTTTGCCCAAGTGTAGGCTAATGTAAGTGTTCAGAGCTCGTTTAAGGTAGGCTAGGCTAAGCTGCGATGTTTGGTGGGTTGGCCATGTTAGATGCATTTTCAACTTATGATTGGTTTATCGGGACTTACCATGGGATTACATCCCAATAAACCCATCGTAAAAAAAAAAAAAAAAAATCGTAAGTTGAGGGAGATAGCTTAGTCTCCCCCTGCCGCATGCTAACTTGATTTAGTCTAATAATTCAATGCCCCTTAATTCCCTCTTTGAAACTAAGGTAATTAGAGCAGGTGATTTTCTTGAGACTTCTTTTAACTCCAAATTTTTAATTTCACTGAGACAAGTGGCATCTCACCTTTTAAACATTTTTAAAGTCGTTCAATTGACTATCTGGAGACAAATGGCTAAAGTATTACTGTTTTTACTTACAAGATTTGCCCACCTTAAGTCCCATTTGTCTTGGTGTAATTATGAATAGTGCCCTGCCCCTTCACTCTCAACACTCTCCTTTTCTGGAGGTATAGATACTCACCTAAAATTTTGATAGGAAGAAAAACCACTTTCTAATGAACACGGAGTCAAGGTCTCAATGGAAATAGTATGTTTCCTGTTAATGATGCACTAATTGGCTGGCTACTTGGCTGGATGTTTGTGTAGGGGGATTTGAGTAAGTATATGGGTAGGAATGGTGGCTAGATAGATCATTTTAGATTGTTTTTTAATACTAAGAATCTAGTAGCCTGTATATCAGGAATTACTTGAGAGGCTTTAAAGTTGGGGCGCCTGGGTGAATCAGTCATTAAGCATCTGCCTTCGGCTCAGGTCATGATCCCAGGATCCTGGGATCCAGCCCTGCATTGCATCGGGCTCCCTGCGCAGGAGGGGAGCCTGCTTCTCCCTCTTCCACTCCCCCCGCTTGTGTTCCCTCTCTCGCTGTGTCTCTGTCAAATAAAAAAAAAATAAAATCTTTAAAAAAAAAAAAAAGGAAGCTTTAAATTTGAACAGGGAAAAAAATCCCAAAACTCTGCATTCTGTGTTCTTTTTTCTTTTTTCTGCATTCTATTTCCTATCTACAGTTCCTCCCTCAGTGATCTCATCCATTCCTGTGGGTTTAAATATCACCTTTATACTGGTGACTCCCAATTTATATCCCTAGCCTTGACCCTTCTCCTGAGAGTCATCCTTCATTCCCCTTCATTCCCCCCGAATCTAATGCATTAGCCAAGTCCTGGCAGCTCTCCCTCTAAAATATGCCCAGAATCTGTCTCCTACTTTCTGTCTCCACCGGTCCTAGCCACCATCTCTTGTGTTCGTGTGCAAGAGCACCTGTTCTCGCATGCACACCCTAGCCACAGTCAGTTAACAAGTAGAGTGATGTTTTAAAAATGTACGTCATGTCACTGTCACTGTCACTGAAAACCCTTCATCATATGCTTCCATCACACTTGGGGGAAAAAAAAATCCAGGCCCTTATTAAGTTCACATGGTGCTCAGCATTTGCTGATTCAAATGTCTACTACTTGTGAGCTAATGACCGACCCCAGATCCCGCTAAAGGGGGGTGAGGACAGGAGAGCATAATGCTCTATGTTGAAATCAATTGTCATCATTCAGTAGCGGCCTGGCATGGCCAAGTCTTTTTAATTATCAAGAGGCATGACAAGATTGTTTTTGTTTTTAGTGAAATCTCAAAAACACCATGTGGGCTGAATGTGATCCATAGGCCCCCACGCAGCAACCTGTC